GGCACGAGGCTTCATCCCGAACCACTTACCAACCTAAAAAACCTTTTGTGCTCGTCTGATATGTGTTACTTCCCTACCATGAGAAATTAGGTCAAGTTTTTCCACGGTTCTTTTTTCTCCTCCTCGGAAGAGGCAGCTTTAAACCGATGCCTTAAAACGTGTCGGAACAGATTGTTTGTATTTATGCAGGATGAACTTAACACCGGATTTGGGTTTTTTTGCCACTTTGCTATTTATATACATATATATAAAATGTATAATGAAGCTTAACCATACAGCACAGCGATTACAATTTAACGGCACACATTCACCACCAGTGAGGGGGACAACCCCTTTATACACCCTCTGAAAAATCTGGATAATAATATTAATAATAATTAAAATCCAAAGAAAGTACAGTATATTTAACAAAATAGTAAATATTAAACAGTGAATACTCTACTTAATAAGGACCTCGCCTTTCTTCAAGTCGGCGTCAATCCACAAAAATATACTTTTTAATCTGGTGACCGTACAATACGTAGGTACTTACACCAAAGGTGATAATATATTTAGGATGCTATATACACAAAGAGTTTGGCTCAAATTTAAATTTACATATAAGTGTTCATGGCTTATTTTTCCCCCAAGGTTCCGCCTGCAAGTTTTTCCTTTTCATCTCTGAAAGCAAAAACTAGAAAGTCAAAATAAGATAAAACTATACTCTACAAAAAAGCTACAACATACAGCTTTGGCTTATATAAATAATTCATAGCAGAATGTGTTCAAAAGTACTGTATATAACTTTATATATAGTCTTCAATTCATTAGGGTATTGTTTTCTTTAATATAAAATATACAGGAGCTAAAATCCGTTTCTATAGTTTTCAAAGGTACGAACGTAAAAACAAATTTGTCAAACATATCCCAATTATAACTTAATATATTAATTTTACTTTGTTAACGTTCTATTTTCTAGGCTAATATTTTCTGAGTATTTCATGCGAGTTCTCTATGTCTCTCTCTCACTCGTTAAAAAAATCACTTCTTTGACCCAATACACTACTTTTTTTGCACGTGCAAAACAGGGTTTTTGTTTTGTTGTATTTCTTACAGCATCAGCCCTTCTCCATGCACCCTCTGCGACAGAGACCCATGCCAGGTTGGGTGATACCAAGGTCAGTTTATGTACAGTATTGCTTTCTTCTTCCTGCTGCTCTACTGCTCTGCTGCTACAAAGCATTATTTCTTAACTACGAGGAACCATACAGCTCGAGTAAAACACACAGGGACGTTACTACAGGCGAGCCCTCTCGCTTTCGGCAATCTAGCGCGGAGGGGTTACAATGCGGGTACAACGCTGCTCTGCACAACGGGGTATATTCTGAAAACGACGAGTCCAGGGACGTGCCGGGCTAGACCGATACCTACAGGATTGTTCCGTTACGTTTTACCAGGGGACAGCTGCAGCGATACAAGACGTTTGTCGTAAGTGCCTGATGATTCTCTGTATGCTACACACACTAGCACATATATACGCGAGTGACGATATATATATGCACGTATGTATATACATATAAATATACTGTTTCATGTCCTTATTTATAAATTTCGATATGTCAGGACAGTTCGTTTCGAGAACGCAAAACCGAAGAGGCGACACTGCGCGTTTATGTCACCCACGTGTCCATCCTCATCCGTTTTACCGATGGACTCTCTCGATCTTCCGCGTTCGGTGGCCTTCCCAGCACGACGGGGGAATGGAAATCGCTTCTGGGGTCCTCCCGATCGCTGCCGTCGTAGGAGCTGCTGGAGCTGCTGAGGCTGTCGACGGGAGAGCGGCCCATCTCCTGCCGCGACGGCGGCGGCTGCGGCGCCTGCTGCTGCGGGAACCCAGAGGGCGTGACACGGTCCCGGGGAGGTGAAATTGGTTCGGATTTTATGTTGATGTTTTGGTTGGTATTAATGGATAAATTTGAACCCTGAGATAGCTGGCTGCCAGTACTGGGAAAAAGAAAACCAAAAGGCAGAAATGAGGTAACACGGAAGAGGAAAAGCGACAATTCCCGTGTCTGCACCACGGTCTCAGACTTCGAGGCCCTCGGGTGAGTGCGTAAATAAACACAATTACTGGAGCGAAGAAGTTGTTGAACAAAGCGCTGATCAGCGGTCTGAGCTGCACTGACAAGCCGAAAACAAACAGCAACGTTCCCCACTTCCACAC